ACCGCATTGCCTCATTTGAATCGCCCATGTGCAGCGAGAACGTACGACTCGTCGGCAGAGGCCGCACACGCCCGACCTTGGTGGGCGATTTCAGCGGCGACGTCGCCTGCGGTGGCAGTCGCGCGGGCGGCCGGGGCTTGATCTCCTTTGGCGGCGACGACGCAACGACAAGAGACTGTTTCAGAGGCTTGGCAAACCCGTACGCGGACGTGAGGAGGTTGCCGCGCACGGCGCGGTCTGCCACTTCGGCTTGTGCGAGCGCTCGCTCCTTGTCCCTTTCGCCAATGCTCGGCATCGGGTCGTACACGACACCTTCCTTCACTGCGGGCTCCTTCTTGGGACTGGTTGAGACGCGGATCTTGGTCGTTTTCGTGGGCTCTATCGTAGAAAAGTGAGATCTCGGACAATAGGATCTTAAATACTCTGTGGCGAGTAGGTGCGCACGCGCTTGACCGGGGACCGCGCGAGCTGTTGACACACAATCCCCGAGTACTTGAGCACACCTGGAAGCGTTGAGACGATGGATTTCATTCTTTGCATTGTCCGCTCGTACTTGCATCGGCCGCAAACTGCACCATGGCGTGCGACACGGTCGAGAGCGCGCGGAGCTCGTCGAGGACGTCGGTGACCATGCGATCCATCGACATGAAGCTACGAAGGGGTCAACGGAATGCTGGAAAGCGTCATCGACACACCAGAGAAGTGCGGTCGTGACGGCGACCGAGACCCGCTTGGACGCGTCAACGTTGACGCTTGCCTGCAAGAGTTGCGCGAGGCTCTGCAGAACGGGCCACGTCTCCGTGTCCGCATCGGCCACGTGGCCGCTGAGGATCGTGCCAACGACGTCCTTGCCGCGAGCTTCGCAGATGGCGACAAGGACTACGTGTTGTTCTCACGACGCGGTTGCATCAAGAGGCATCGTACTCGCGCAGGTGTAAATGACGGCTTGGTCCGCCGTCTTGTCGCTGCGGTGGACGATCGGTCGTATGAGGACGGGAAGGAGGCCGAGGCTAAAGACGATGCCGATGCTGCTGTCGTCGTACTGCACGAGCGGCGCGAGGGCTCCCGCCGCCGCCGACTATCGTCCGTCAGGAGCGCATGCACGTGGCAGCTCTGTACCTGAAGAATGACGTCGTCGGGAAAGCGCCGAAGCCCGTTGGCAATGAGCTCGATGGCACCATTCTCAAGCAGCACGCGCTGGCTCTCGTCGCATGCACACGCAAGCTTCCGCATGAGCACAAAGCCGTACGACTGGATGACGGGCACGGACGCTTTGACGCGCAGCATCGAGAGGATCGTGAGTTCCCCCAAGTGGCGGTGCAGCTCGCGCGCGCCGTCGCGGGTCCGGACATGCTTGAGCAGCACGGCAAATGCCTTCTCTACACAAGACGACAACGTTGTTGGATTTGGCGCTGCAGGGTGAGAGCGTACGACA